GTTCGAGATACAGGTGATCACGTACACACAAACGCACGGACGCACACAGGGCAAACCATAAGTACCCGTTTTTGGACTACGTCCGAACGGGGACTAAAAATCTTACTAAAACATGCATTATTGGTTTACATTTGAAATGGTTTCTAACAGCAAACATACTGTAGTACCACCCTTCTGTACCACATGTCTCTGTGAACATTTGATTTCTGCAACAAAACAAACCATGAAATCAGGACTTTTGCTAACCCTTTGCTAGTGGCAAATTAATTTTAGATACAGCTACAATCAATTGCGCTACTTCTGACCACCAATGGCTAAACGGTGGTATTTTTACCCAAATATTATTCTAAGGAATGCTCATTAACCCTATATGAGCACCAAAGTTAACTTCAGAAACCATCTACAAAATAGTTCCATTTATAGTTTGTGTTATTCCATATATGAATTGTGGAAAATTGAGACGCAATGACACATTTTGACTGTTTGGTTCAAAATTAAGATTGAATTCAGTGAAAATTACCGAAAATGTAAACAAATTTATTCCAGTTTGATTTGAAAAAAAATTTGACATCCAAAGGGTTAAACAACTGTTTGCTACATTAATCTAAAAATTGTGATATCTCAAGTTATCTTTTCATCTTTGCCAAGAGGTGAAAACTACTTCACCCTCATGGAAGGAGAGGTGAAAACTACTTCACCCTCATGGAAGGATAGGTGAAAACTACTTCACCCTCATGGAAGGAGAGGTGAAAACTACTTCACCCTCATGGAAGGAGAGGTGAAAACTACTTCACCCTCATGGAAGGAGAGGTGAAAACTACTTCACCCTCATGGAAGGAGAGGTGAAAACTACTTCACCCTCATGGAAGCCATGTGAAATATGCACATTTAATACACAGCATTTAATACACTAGATAGTTGTGACAATTAAAGTGCCTGTGAAATGGCTGCTATTTTCATGCCTAAAATTATCCATTGATACATAAATATTATTAATTTTTATGTTTCTAAGCATAAATAATTTTTTTTAAGTAAAAAAATGTGTTTTAAACTCAGTCTACGGAAACTTTTTTTGTGTATTTTAAAACGAGGCTCCTCATTAGCTTCTCGTTTGTATACAGAAATTCCCCTTGTGACGTCAGAAGGGGAAGTCGCATGGCAGCTTGCATTGCCGATACGTGTAAATAAGGAAAATTTCTTGTGCTGTTTTCTCGTCTTTGACTAAATTGCCACTTATGTATTTGTTCTTCGAGGAAGAATGGACCATAATGAACACATAGTATCAAGTTTGTTGCATGGGGTTGAGTCAGATGCGAAATATGTCCGGTCTGGTGTAGCTAGTCACCGTGGTTGTCACCGTCACCGAGCACATTTGTACACTGTCGCTGGACTCCTTCATTGGACAAAATCAAATTTGACGGCTGAATGGTCTTGTTATTTAGCAGGTTACTAGACACTATTGATTTATAAAATAGAGAAATAATTAAAAAAAACGACAAAACACAGTTACTAAATAAATGACTGCCGCGTTGTACGCGTCGGGTCATGAGGGGGACAAGTGCGTGAATGGCGGCGTTTAATTGGATAACAAAAATAATTGAGAGCGACTCACATACAGACAAATTCAGAGCGGATTTAGCGTGATTTTCATGATTATGGCATTATATTAAAGAAATACATTGACAGCTCAAGCCCGGATTCTTATTCCGTAAATTATTACGCCGATCAAGCTGCAAGTAAAGGCAACAAAGGTGTGAATTCGACATTCAACACCAATAACCGAACAATTCAGACACTTTTAGCCTGCGAAAATGAAAACATTCTTTTACATAACACGGGTGGTCTCTATAAAGTGATAATCAGGATCGCAAAAAAAATCAAATCATTTGAAACACATACTCGACGTCTCTCTCCCTTCTGAAATCCGTCTCAGCGATCATGGGCTGGTCCGGAATCTATTTTTTCAAAAACGTTTTGTATTTTCGGCGTTTCTCGTTAAAACCTAGTTGTTTTGTCATGGACAAGGACAGTTTTTCAAAAAAAAAAGAATCTGAGGTGAAGTGGACACTGCATATGACGCTGTTCGGAGGAAGTCCACCCCAACCTTTTCTCGTTATTTTCACGGTATATCGTTTAAAAGTACAGTTGTACGTTGAATGACACAGTGATATAAAAGTACGGCTCAGGGGTATGGCTTCCTCTCATATTTTTGCATTTGGTGGCGCACTTTCGGCGAGAGTCGGAAATCCGGAAACAGTCGACCGTTTCAGGATAGGTGGGCGTGGCTACAGCACGGGAAATATCTCAAATTTACTTGGATACGAGTAATCATTTTCAGCAAAAAAATCAATAATTGCCCATTTCAGTGGGGCACAGATCTAAAATGGGAAGCGTGTGGGTGGGCATTGCACAGGCACTTTAAAAGAAGGCAAGACTAGCAGTACATATCAGCAGAAGCAATTCACCCTAACACAATACACATACAATAAATACAACATCTCCACAGAATAACGAGTTCATGACACTTCATTTCCTACATCCTAGTTTCACAATGAAAACTACACTGCTCCGCTCAGCACACTTCCCGACATACGACTGGCCTTGACATGAACACAGAGACTCACCGAATTGACAACCTGGACATTGATACAGTAGAAAATCAAACCGTAAATACCAGATGCTATTCAATAATCCTACCACGGTTATATTAATATACTCACTGGGATTATAGCCATGTATATTAAGAACAGATTGCAATACCCATGCAATACATACATTCAATACATGTATAAATATATTTAACAGTATCCTTTGAGTTGAAAGTACATGTATGACCACATCAATTGTGTACCGATATCCAGAAATGAAATTATAATAATACCTGATCAAAATCTGAATGTACAAGTGTTGGATAATTTACACTCATTCTATTTGTAGCTTAGCTTATGTACATGTAAATAACAGTGTGGGTAAATAAGCCATATTTTGAAGATCTTGGAGTTTAATAAAAATTCAATTTGTGGTTTGCATGCGCTTTTAATAGAGCAAACAAAATATATCCATTCATATTACTGATATTGACATAGCTATACATACTTAGCATACCTGCTTTTCAGATGCAAATTTATAAATTAAATATTTCCAACTGG